ACTGAGCTAGTGGTGACAGGTTGGGGGCAGAGTGAATAACAATGGAAGCCTGTGGGGTGGGGAGGCGCTATGGGGGCCATCAAGTTAGGACGAACTCCAAACCATGCCCCCCCCTCCAACAACACCCTCTCAGCCCCTTCACTGAAGCCCCTGCAGGGGCACCAGTGGGAGCGTAGGTGGCAAAACAATGCGGCTGGTCCCGGAACCACCACACCAGGGCATGGCTGGGGCGCAGGTGCCCAGAAGCGGACCCCAAGAATGCTGCATAGGATGCCCCCTTGTTGGGGATCCCTCCTGCAACCGCTGCCGCATGCTGGGGGAACGACCAGAAGGCAAATTCTCTGAAGCAGGAAAAGGAGAAATCTCTTTTAAGCCAGCTTTTCAACTCTCTACCCCTCCCGTCGCTCATGTACTGAGTCGCCCTGATGGCCGGTAATATACAGGTATCGCCTTGAATCCTGACAACCATTCAGGAATGTTCGTTATTAACCTTATTTTGCAGAGAAGGAAGCAGAAGCACTGAGAGCGGGAGTGACCTGCTCCAGGTCACAGGCTCCTAGAAACCCAGGGAGAGGGTGTTTGGGGGGAACCAGGGGCTGCCGGACCCCGCGAAGAGCAAAGATGCCCCAGAAATGGGGGTAGGCCCAGGGGTATGTCTGCCACGGCGGGTCCCCACCCTGGGGCCCCGGGGGGGGGTGGCTCGCGCCCAGGTGCCCCGAGACGGCCCGCGGAGGGGCGCGGGGCCGGGCAGGAAAAGAGCCTCCAGCTCTCGGCGGCTCAGCACCTGCGCCGCGGGGCGCTCGGCGCCCAGAAGGTGCAGCGGCCGCTTCCGCCTCCCCGGGCCTGTGCCGAGCGGATGCGCCGCCTGCGTGTGAACAGGGCTTGTTTTCCCTTCACGCCCTCGGGCTCCGTTCTTATGAAGCACTTCCTTCTGTTGGCGCTTTGGGAATATGCATTCCTGGCTTGCACAGCGCGCGGGTGACAGTTGGGCTGGGAAATGTCCCCGCAGCTTAATTAGGGCATCACCAGAGCGCGCCAGGGACCCGCCCCCGCCCTTCCCTGCCGCCTGGACCCCAGGGACGCTGGAGCCTGCGCGCGCGCGCGCGCGCGCGCGCACACACACACACACACACACACACACACACACACACACGGGAGGGAACATAGCTGCTCCTGCCGCTGTTAGCACCATTATTCCTCTTGCTGCCGGTCCAGGGACCCCGGTGTCCCCAGCCTGCCCTCCGCCCTCTGATCCCTTATACGAACCTGCCCCGGATCAAAGCAGCCGGTCCTCCAAGTAGGCCATCCTTTCGCACACTTTTGTCCTCAGCATTACTGCTCCCTGGAATGCCCTCCCCTGTCCTCCGGGCATGGACAGCTCGTGCTCCAGACCCCCCCAAAATTCCTCCTCCTCCCCTCCCCCAGCTGAAGAGTCCTTTGTGGCCAGTGGAATTCCCAAGGCCTCCTGCTGTTCCGCCTCGCTGGACAGACGGACCCTGAAGAGCCACCTGCTCTCCCCTCCCTGCTCCTCAGCAGGGCAGTCTCAGGAGGAGGGGCGCACATTTACGGTTCCCCCCTACCCCCCGCCCGGGATTGCCGAAGCTGGAGGTAACTTTCACAGGAAGGTTGGCAAGCCCCAGTATGGACAATATCCATCCGCCCACAGGGATGGGGATGAGGACAGGGGAAGGGGAACCTTCACATGCTAAAAACCCAGAAGAATACCGCAGAAGCAGGCCTTGCGGATTGACAGGAAATGTCAAGCAAAAAATAAATATTGAAAATTCAACTGCATATTATATTGAAATCCCATTCAAAAAAAAATCTTGAGGGGGGGATTTGCAACACACATGGCAAAGGATGAGTTTCCTTAAATGCTCCTTCCTGCAGTGAGAGGAAAATCAACCAGCTGAGGGAAAACGGATCAACAGCAACAGGTCGTTTCCAGAAAGGAACCACAAATGGCTTCTGGAGATATGGGACGTGCAGCCTTATTCATCGTGACAGAAATGCGGAGGTGAAAAACGACATCTTCGACATCTTCGTTTAAACTGATCAAGAAACATCTTCAAGATGTGTGTCCCAGTGCCTGGGTGGCTCAGCTGGTTAAGCGACCGACGTCAGTTCAGCTCATGATCTCCTGGTCCATGAGTTCAAGCCCCACATCGGGCTCTGTGCTGCAGCTCAGAGCCTAGAGCTGCTTCAGATTCTGTGTCTCCCTCTCTCTCTACCCCTCCCCCGCTCATGCTCTGTCTCTCTCTCTCTCTCTCTCTATCAAAAATAAACATTAAAAAAATTAAACAAACAAACAAAAAAAAGATGTGTGGCCCAGTGGGAGGGAAAGACTGCAGGGAGGTTGAGCTCCCAGGGGATTTCTGGGAATGCAGCCAGATTCGATGCAAGTCTGGTCCATCACTTCCTAGCTGCCTGGCTGCAGTCACCTGACATTTTCTGGGCCTCAGTTTTCTCATCTGTAAGATGGGGTCATGATGCACTGCCAGGGAAGATTGAGACTTGGGGGGCCAGGGGAAGGCCAGAGGAGTAATACAAAGGCTGAGAGAGAAGACCTCAGGGGAAGGAGGGGCGGAGCCACTGTGGGGAAGGGAAGGGACCATAGTGGGGAAAGGGTGGGTCACGGGACGGTGCCTGCTCCTGCGGTGTGGTTGAGACAGTTCCGTTAGGTGGGAAGCAGGCACAGGGAGCAGAGCTGGGCTGCTGCGGAGTGGGGTGAGGATGGAGTTGCTCTCCGGATTGTTTGGTGGTAGAGGGAAGGAGGGAGAGGGTAAGGGTGGGAAGGTGGTGAGGATCCTGGAGACGGAGACGGGAGACTACAGTATCTGTAGGCTATGAAAATGGCCTCAGGGCCCCAGGACACCGCTTTCCCAAGTGGCATCTCAGAGCCTGGCCCACGCTGGCTAACTCTCCTGAATGGCCGTATTTTCTTGGACCCAATCTCACAGCAGTCCAGATTATGCTTGTACGGCTGGGACATACTCAAAGCTCAGCAGAAAGGGAGAGCAAAACCCAGCTTTCCAGGAATTAGATGGAGATCATGGCCTTGAACCCAGAGCCGCGAGGATGAGTCTGAAGCACAGGTAAAGAAGGACGTGCCAGTTCTGGCCTGAGAAGCCGCCAGCCCTTGCCCCAGCAGCAAGGCTAACGGGAAAACACATCCTGGACTCAGAAGGTGGGAGTGAACCTGAAACGTGTGCTCGGGGGAAGCATGCCTGACACACAACCGACGCTCTACACACCTTTCTTAACAGCATAACCCAGAAAGAGGCTTGTGAGACTTGTCGGAAGGAATAGGTCAAGGCCGAGCTTGCTGGGTACAGGAGAGACTCCAAGCACGAGGTGGCTGCGAGACAGCCCAGGTGCTGGGCAGGCAGCACAAGTGTGGTGGAAATGCCAGCCGTCGGCACAGACCGGGGTGGGGCGCGGTGGTCCTGCCCTTGCGACTCAGAGAGTGGGCGCAGCAGGCTGCCACCGCCTCCCCCGAAAGGTGTCGTCTCAAAGGGAAGACGATGTCTTGCTGGGGCCTGCGCAGCTGAACTTGGTCTTTCCACATTCTGCAGGATGGTTTTCCATGGTGGCTTGGGCAACCTGACTTGTGTGGTGCAGGGAGATGTAGTCACCTGGGGTCCAGATAGGGAAAGGTTATCAGTGCACCCGGGAGCACAGATTCCAAGGGGCGTGTGGAGTGGTGGGGAGGGGGCGGCGAAGAAGTGCGAGCGGCTTTGAGGACCTCAGAAACAAGTACGTGCAGACCTCAGGCTAACATCCTCCGACGTGGGGGCCTCCGTCCCCCATCTCCCTGGGCCTCCCTGGACAGACTTACGCCCGATCTACAGAGGCATCTGATTGGCTGCTGGGTTGGTTGGCGCCCTCTAACGCTCCTGGTCCAATCAGCTCCAGGCTGGGCTTGGGGAGGGCAGGTGGCTTCGGAAGCAGAAACTGGACTCAGCGAGCACGGTCGCTAATATCTGGGTTGTCCTGAGCAACTCGTGAGATGGAAAAGAGCCTGCAACCGGGTCAGCCTCCCGGGGCTCCCACCTATAGTAAAGAGCTCTGTGAACGCAGTGAGTTCGTTCTCTGAGCCTCAGTTTCCTAAATTGCAAAATGGCACAAAATGTGTTTGTCACAGGGTGGTTGCGAGGAGGAAATGAGATAATAAACAGGAGAGTGTTTTGTAAACCGTAAAGCCAGAGGCGAGGCGTTTTATTTTACACCCAAAGGAGTGAATGTTCTTGAGGGCTGCCTTTCCCTCGAAGCTTGGTGGAGCCCCCAGCCGAAGCTGGACAAGACACGGGTCGGATCTTATACCTAAACCCACAGACTCTGAGAAAAGGTGGATACAGGTCTTCCTGCAGAATGCGCCTGGCCGGATGATCCTAGCTTCATTCGCAGCTCTGCCCCCAGAGGAGACTGATTAGACCCTCTAAGTCCCAGTTTCCCCATCTGCAAAATGGACGGATGCGACTGCCCTACCCTAGTCACACGCTGCTGGGGAATGAAATACTCCCCCACTCCTTCCCCTGACTTCCCTTCTCTGCTCCCTGTTTGCTTTTCCCTCTGCACCTCTCTGGGGTTTCCGCCGATGGTACCAGCTGAGAAGGAAGGAGCCCTTCGGGACATTTCCGTGCCCTCATCAACATGACCCTGGCCATCGCCCCCACAGCCCAACACCGGAGAGGAGTGCAGTCTGCATTGCTCTTTACATGTTTGAAGTGTGTCCCTGACATTTTCACAACCGGATTATCATTCTTAGACCTTGGGTATCACCTCTGTTGTGAAAATCCCAACTGCGGTCTGCGTGACCAGAAAGGGCCGCCAGGGACAGGTTGTGGGAAGAAAGGGGACTGAGCAGCCCTCTGCAGAGTGGAACCTCGCGACTCCAGGAGCCCTTCCCTTGCTGCCGTCAGCCCCTTGACCCCCACGACGTTCCTCGCCGTCCCCACAGCTGCCGCTTTGCCCGCACCGCGCATGCCTGGGGTGAAAATTCTCCCCTTCAGTGGGCCCGCCAAGCTCGCTTCCTCCTGGACCACTTCCCGCTGTCCCCCGGGATCCTGGGACCCGAGCAAGGAGGGGCTGCCGCTCCCGCGCTCTCACCCACCCCTGCAGGCCCCGGGTGTCATCTCTTGCAACAGCTGACTGTGACGCCTCCACCACTCTGGTGTCACTTTTAACACCGCACGTTCACACCACCGGCTGACTGTCTGCGCAAGGAGGCCCCAGCGGAGGCGCGTGCAGCCGCACCCCACATGTGGAGCTGTTAATCCGGCAGTTGTTCAGCAGGTCTCTTGGCCTCACCTCCAAACGTGTTACTTCTGGAGAGAACGACACCACGGAACTGCACCAGCTTTCTCAAGGAGTGCCAGGACTCGCCTGTCCTGCGTCGGCCAGGAGGGGAAGGGGGGTGGGGGGGAGGAGGCATTTCGGAGGAGGCGCCGTGTAAAGATCTGGGGTCTGGACCCCCACCCCCCACCCCCTACACACAGTTCCGCAAATCAGGAAAAGAAGACGACGACGAGAAAAGGGAAACGGGAAATTGTGTCACCACGCCACTTAAGTGTGTTTTATTAAATCTGCACTTTCCTATGTTTTCAAGGAGTTCGCGGCATGATGGTAAGAGACAAAAGCAGCAGACACAGCCTCTGCACACCGTGATCCCAAGTCTGTAATGTGTGGGGTGGACATCACCACCGTTCACCCACATCTGACTCCCATCCATATCCAGGCGCCGCTGAAGGATTTCATTTCCGCACCCTTTGGAGCAGGCATAGCCACGTGACTTGCTCTGGCCAATGAAATGTGAGGGAAGTAATTCGTCACTTCCGGGTGAAGTCGGTGGTGTTTGCCGGCTGGCGTTCCATTCCGCAGCCGGGAGAGCATGGTTGATGCAGAAGGCCCACAAGGTAACAGGCGCCACCACACAGGGGACAGAACCCCTAGAAGTCACCTGGACCACTGTGCTCTGGGTATGAGCAGAAATAAACGTTTTAAATGTTAAATCACTGAGAGTTTTGTGCAGTTTTTTCCGTAGCATGATCTATCCTGTGTTGAAAGATATGATGATATGAATAGATGCAAAAAAATATCATCAGGAAACACCACAGTTACTGATGCAGTTTGCTTTTAAACTTTGCTGAGTTTCCAAACTTGGTAGAGTCAGCGTTTATTACCTTGGTGATTTTTCTTTCAGCTTTATGAAATGCAACTGATATACAGCACAGTAGAAGTCTAAGGTGTACTCATTTAATGATTTAAAAAAAGTTGCTTCTCATAAGCATAGCTAGCTTTTCAAATAAATGTGTCCTCAGTATGTGCTAGAGACTTTAGCTAGGGTCATTTCCTTTCTTCCTTACAAAATCCTAAAAGGATTTTCCCATTTTTAAAAGGGTAAATCTGGGGGCGCTTGGGTGGCTCAGGCTATTGAGCGTCCAACTTCGTCTCAGGTCATGATCTCACACTCCTGGGTTCGAGCCCCAAGTCGGGCTCTGTGCTGACAGCTCAGAGTCTGGATCCTGCTTGGGATTCTGTCTCCCTCTCTCTCTGCCCCTCCCCCACTCACACTGTTTCTCTCTCTCTCTCTAAATAAATAAATAAACATAGTTTAAAAAATGTTTTTAAAGGGTAAATCTGAGGTTTAGAGAGAGAAGGTGCCAAGTACTCCATCTATGCTCATTATCCTATTTACCTCTTCAGAGGCTTGAAGTATTTTATTCCTGTTTTAAAGATGAAGCTCAGAGAAGTTATGCAAGTTGCCCACTGTTAAACATTTAAGAATCGAGGAAATAAAACTGAAGCAATAACCACAAAAGCAGGCACCTTTTACTGGATGATTCTATATGCCAGGGCCAGAAATGGTCTCATTTTATCCTTCCAGTAATTCTATGATATAGGCACTAAAATTATCTCAACTTTCTAGAAGAAAAAAAATGGAGGCTCAGAGAGACTGAGCTAGTCACCCAGGGCCACACAGCTAGCAGTCTGCAGAGCTGGGACTGGCTTCTTGGTCTGTCCCAATTTTGGACAGATTACTGAGAGCAGAGGCAGTACCAAAGGTGTCCGTAGGTAATACACATACATTTAAAAATTAAATATCTATTTTTATCAAAATCTTTACAAAGAATATTTTAAAAATCAAATGGTACCTTGAAGCTGATAATGAGAAGCAGCAGTCCTGGGCCTTCACTCACCACCTAGCCCCCTCCTCTGAGGCAACTACTTTCAACATTTTAGCTATTTCTTCTGACATTTTCTTTCATATTTCTAAATAGCATTCTTTTTTTTTTAATTTTTTTTTTATTTATTTCTAGGAGAGAGAGAGAGAGACAGCATGAGCAGGGGAGGGTCAGAGAGAGAGGGAGACACAGGCTCTGAAATAGGCTCCAGGCTCTGCTCTGGCAGTCAGCACAGAGCCCGACGCGGGGCTCGAACCCACGAACCGCGAGATCATGACCCAAGTGAAAGTCGGATGCTTAACCGACTAAGCCACCCAGTCGCCCCTCTAAATAGCATTCTTGACCATTTTTTAAAGTTTATTTATTTTGAGAGTGCATGCAGGGGAGGGACAGAGGGAGAGGGAGAATTTTGGGGCTTGAACCCACAAACCATGAGATCATGACATAAGCTGAAATCAAGAGTCAGACGCTTGACCAACCGAGGCCCCCAGACACCCTGAGCATTATTTTTAAAAAAATTACTTATCGGCTTCCTCCTGTGCTCCAACAGACATCACACACACACACACACACACACACACACACACACTTTTCCTTTCTAGATAATTCTATCATATTTGCTAAATCAATATTCAGTTTTTACAGTCATATCTGCATATATGTTATTCATAGCTAACAAATACTATATAATGGTTATAGTTGCTGTCTTCTACAGGTTTTTTGTTTTCCCAGGAGTTAGTAATTACCTCAGTTTTCATTTAATTCATTTTTGACTACCTAAATCAGTAACATCAGTAACAATCATTAAATTAGTAACATCACTAATTCTTCCCACAAGCATGTCTAAATTTCTAGCAATAGATTCAAACACATGGTAACCTATCAGTTCTATTATTCTCTTGAAGCTCTCTGTCCTCTTGTTCTTACCTGGACCAGTTGCTCTTCTGGTTGTGTAGTAGTCCTGCAATTTCTTTTTATCATTATCTTGGAAATTCCCTTCACTTCCTCTGTTGGTTCCTTGTTTCTTGGCTCTTAAGCCATCTTCTTTCTTGGTTTTCTTCCTTCATTTTGTTGTAATATGTATGCCAATAGCTTCCTTGGAAACTGCATATGGGAGTTCAGTTTTTGGATAATTGATTGACAGTTTGGCTGGATGCATAAATCTGGGTTGGAAATAATCTTCCTCCAGAATTCTGAAGTTCCCTATTGGCATGTGGTGTTCTGGGTTGAAGTTAGCAAGTCTAGTGTCATTCTGGTTCTGGATCATCATTATGTGATGATCTAGAAATTTCTTTAATAAAATTCAATATTTATTCTATATTTTAAAAAATGTTTTATTTTTTTTATTTTTTTTTAAATTTTTTTTTAATGTTTTATTTATTTCTAGGAGAGAGAGAGAGACAGCATGAGCAGGAGAGGGTCAGAGAGAGAGGGAGACACAGACCGAAACAGGCTCCAGGCTCTGAGCTGGCAGTCAGCACAGAGCCCGACGCGGGGCTCGAACCCACGAACCGCGAGATCATGACATAAGCGAAAGTTGGACGCTTAACCGACTAAGCCACCCAGGCGCCCCTAAAAAATGTTTTAATAAGTTAGACTAGCTGGATAAGAAGCTGACACTTTTACATATTAACCTGAAGCCAGGGGGAGATACTTAGAAATACTGCCATACGGTTACTACCCTTCTGGAGGCCAGTAAATACAACAGAAAAGAGGTATCAGATTGGAGGGGAAGAGGTAACCTATCACTGCCTGGAGATGATTTGACCATTTGCCTGGAAAACCCATAAAAATCAACAGAAAAAAATACCAAAAATTAGAAAACAATTGGGTAAAGTAGCAATTGAGTAAATTAGTATTCTCTCATCAAGTATTCAAATATAAAGACAAGAATGAGGCCTAAAACAGATAAAAGACTTGATTTGCAAAAGCAGCCTAGAAATAAGCTTTTTAAAAAAATGCAAAATCTATGGGAAGAACGCTTTTTGAATGTTGCTGAAAGATACAAATGTGAATTTAGACCACATTCTTGGATAAAAAGATGCAACATTATAAGAATGTCGGTTCTCCTTAAGTTAATCTACACAACACAATCACAACAGAAACACCAACAGGGTTTCTCATGGAGCTACACAAGCTGATTCTAAAGCTGAGGGGCGCCTGGGTGGCTCAGTTGGTTAAACGTTGGACTTCAGCTCAGGTCATGATCTTGCGATTTGTGGGTTCAAGCCGCACATTGGGGTCTGTACTGACAGCTCAGAGCCTAGGGCCTGCTTCAGATTCTGTGTCTTCATCTCTCTGCCCCTCCCACACACACACACTGTCTCTCTCTCTATGTCTCTCTGTGTCTGTCTCTATCTCTCTTTCAAAAATAAATATTTGAAAAAAATTTTAAGTTGATATGGAAAAATACACAAGCATGATTATCCAGGAAAAATCTGAAAAAGAAATGTAAATTGCAGAGATAACCCTATCGGATATTTATATGTATTTTAAATCTATTCCATAGCTAAAATAATTAAACTATGGTACAAGTCCATGACTAGACATATAATTCAGTAATTATAGGAAGTCGCCTAATATATATAGTAAGTTACTATATGATCAAGTTGGCATTTTAAAAACAGGATTTATCCACATTACTGGGACAATTGGCTGCCCATCTGCAAAAGAAATTTAGATTTTCACTTCACATGTTACACCAAAACAAATTCCACAGGACTCCAACAAAGCTTTAAATGAAATCATGAAATCCTTAACGTACCGGAAGAAAACAGGGAGTATGGGACCAATCCCCTATGGCACATCTACTCCAGCTCAACGCCAGGTGACAGTTAGCAGTCGCACCCTGTGGGCTATTGACTGGATCGATTGTCACTTCCGTTTCCAGATGCCCTAGTAGAGGCTGCCTACCGGAAGGCCTGGACTAGGTTTGCTACATGTAATATGTTTGATTCTACCAGTATTAAAACATTTTTGGTTTTGATCTACTATTTTTAACTGGGAGATTTCACCCAAAAGCCTGGATTCCAGACTTCCCCTAAAATGTCTGGAAGCCCTGGGCCCTCATTCTTACATGGAACAGTCAACTGAGCCACTGTCCTTTGCTCTGAAGATGGGGCACATGGGCTCCAATAGTACCAGGGATCAGAGCAAGTGCAGGGAGTGGTGGCTAGTGAGCCAGGAGCCCAGGGGTGGAGGTGAGGGCATGAGGCTGCAGCTGGTGGGGGGCAGGAAGGGGCAGGGCCAGGAACTATTGGAGGAAGAACTAAGGAAGCACCCCCAGATTCTCACTGAAGTGGGCAAAAGCTCATGAACATGTAAACCAAATGAGGTCACATTCCTGCTGAAAAACCCTAACTCTTCACCAGGGAGATGTGGCCACAGCCCATTTCACTGTGCTGGCTGGCACACCAAGCCTCAGGGGCCCTGGGCCATCCCTGCAACGGCCAAGGTCTTCAGGGCCCTGCACTTACTATTCCCTCTGCCTGAGACACTGTTCCCTGGCCCTTTAGCTGTCAGATGATTATATAAATATTCTCTCCCCAGAGAGGTTTGGAATATGCTTTTGGAGGCTGAGGGGCAGTAAGGAGGCTGATTCCCACACGGGAATGAAAAGGTGGGGCGATTCCTGAGAGCACAGGGAAGGTTTCCCAGGGACTGAGGTGCGGGATAGAGTGGTGCCCTGACTGGATGCAATTTACCTCTTGAAAGGCTGCCCCTAGCACCCGTGTGGGAGGGAGACCCCAGCGCCAGAGTGGCAGCAAACAAGAAGCTTCCAGGTACCTGGCCTGGTGGGGCATGGCAGGGGAAGTGGGACTAGAGAGAAG